CACTAGCCCACCCTGAATATCATATATGCAGATTTAAATCAATGCTCAAGTCCTAGTCTAAAGCTACAATAAGGTTTTAGCTGATGGTTGATGATCATGAATCGAAGATATGACTCTTCACAAAACATCCAAAAGGAGGGTGAGTTGTGGAAATATCCCGAATCAATCCCCCACACCATCATTGAGATGAAGAATGCAAACGGTCACGAGACGGAACATCGACATCTCAATGACAACGCTTGAAGGGATAAAGCTACGAAGAATATATATTGCGGCAGAGCACGCTATCATCCTGAACAGACGACGACAGGGAAAAAAAATCAATATCCAGACGCCACACACCACTCTTTTCTGCGCACCCGCGCGTATCACCGCTGGAGGAATGAGGGTGACTACCCGAGCGAGTCCAAAATATGGTGACGAAACTCAAAACCCAAACAAATTTCCGAACGAATACGGCCTTTGATACTGGACGCGACGCAAAGGGAAAACTCAACGCAATCTAGGACGTTAACGAAGGGCAGGAGAAAAGAACGACAGGCAAAGGCACGGAGAACGATGGCCAGCGTGCCAGGGTACCCAACTCGTACAAGGAGACGGCAGGGGCAAGACCTATTGAGGACCAAGGATGCAAAGCACAAGCGATTAATGCAAGAGAGGCGGTCGACTTACTTCGTCATGGCTCGCTGGCGATACGCATCATTCAAAGTCATACAACACAGAAAGTCGTAGAGATTCACACAACAAGACGACGACTCAGGGGCGCTACTGTGATGAAGACGTCGCCCGAAGGTGGCGATAATGAAGACGAAGCAGAACGAAGTGTGGGTGACGACGAAAATCCACCGGAGAAGGCGACGCCACGGAATGGAATCCCGAAGCACCAAGCGAATCCGACACTTCTGCGGTACGATGGAACTAGAACAAACATTTAAGACAAAAATAGTTGGCAAACAGGCGAACCAGGAAACGCGGGGAACTCCGTGTCCAAGTGTCCCGAGGCAAACATCATCGACGAAACTTGGGGAACTCTTTTTCCAAGATTCAGAGGCAGACAACACCGACGAAACTTCGGCGGGAGCTTGTTGAGGGAACCAAAGACCAACAACAACAAAAAAATCGAAGCAAAGGCGGGAGAGAACGGACATTCAGGTCGCGGCAGTTCACTGATTCAGATGAATGCAGGCAACAAGGAAGAACGATCACTCGACACTGCGTGTCTTGAGGCGGCGTTGGCCCAGTATCCAAAACAAAATAAGAGAAAAGAGACAAGACAGAAAAACAAACAAAACAAAATAAAACAAAACGGAAGGTGACAGAAAAAAAACACAAAAGCAAAACGTCGGCGAGAAGGATGGCACAATAGACCAAAATAGGCCGATTGGTATATGAAAACGACGACGCTAAGAAGAAACGGTGGGAACAGCCGACGGTAAGGAGTCAGCAAGGAGCGGAGTGCGACCACAGTTGTCGCCCAGAGGGCGCGAACGATGTTCCTCTAAACACCATGATCCACAGACGGCGTCCAAGGCGGTGGAGTAATGATGCGCAGGCAGAGGCAGAACGCTTGGGCCCGGGTCATCCAAAAATTGAACGATGTACGAGCCGCCCTGATGAGCACCAA